GTGCTCAGTACACTTTGTTAGAAATACAATTATTGGCTTAGCTCATTTTTCTCAGAGACAGACTGAACAACGTAGAAGCCAGGGCGGCAGGTGGGGGGGGGGCTAGGGACGTGACGCAGGTGACTGCTGCTGCTGCTGCTTTTTCTGTCGCTACGTTACGTCAAAATTTGTGTCGCTAGGCTGCCGAATACTTGACGAACAGAGCGGTAATTTGGTGCATAAATTGTTACCGTGAAAATATATTTGAATATCTATGTATTGAAAAGATGTGTCTAGTCTAGATATGAAAAATCGAAATGTAGTTATAAATGCAATATATATATATATATATATATATATATATATATATATATACACACATATATATACACACACATATATATATATATGAAAAGTGTGTATATATATATATATATATATATACACATGCGTATGTATCTAGGCAACAACACACGTATATATACATATGTCAAGTCCCATACTGCCCACATATGTTTATGTCTGTGTGAGTTCCGGTGGGCGAGCGCATTTATATGTGTGCCTGCGTACCTCAAAGGGGTGTACGGACATGCATCTATGTTTGCGTTAGCATGAGTGACATCATGACGACGATTCCCCACCACTTCCATAATGACACTAATAAACGCAACCCACATAAATCCAAAATTTTAAAAAAATTAATCAGTTTGTCTGACGATCGCAAAAAGAGAAAACCTGAGGTCACAAAATCACATGAATCCAACCATATATATATATATATATATATATATATATATATATATATATATATATATATATAGTTTTCATTAAAGTTGACTGACAAGGTACTGGGGTTAAGCTTTTTATTTAATTTTTCTTGCGTTCATGCAAGTGTTTTCTTCACTTGATACAAAGTTTGAAAAATAGAATATTCCTATAAATTCAGATATATACATAAAAAGCCACATATTTACATAAAATAAAATCGTCCCTGATAATGGCTAAAAGAATAGCCGAAAGCGCTCGGATATGTAGAATTTGAAAATTTTGTGACCAGAAGAGAAGACACTTGTACTAAAATAAGAAGCTTCACAGTGCCTTGTCTGTCGTCTATAGCCAAGAAGGATCAACTACCTGATACGCAAATATATATATATATATATATATATATATATATATATATATATATATATATATATATATATATATATATATATATATATATATATATATATTGTCATGCACAGACAGACTTTTTCGCTGTATCAAAGCTCAACCGTGTGGCTAGATGTCCGGCTGCCTCTAGCTAGGATCGAAACCCGACTTAATTGGCGTCATTCGGGAATATACACTATTTTAGGACATTACACCGAAAACTTGTCAAAAATGTTGCACGAGTACAATTGTGTAGCGTTTTCGGCATGGATTTCGATGTAAAATCCTAAAATAAAGAATACTGCTCTACTTTGTATATGGCTTTCTTCGAAATTTAATTTTACTAACGTTGGAATTGGACTCCATTCGTTGTCATCTTATCTCTCTCTCTCTCTCTCTCTCTCTCTATATATATATATATATATATATATATATATATATATATATATATATATATATATATATATATATTTTTAATATTAAAGAAAAAAATGTAAAACGGTCTTGTTAACTGATTTCGAACCTCGCCCAAAAGAATTAAATCGGGATTAATAAATAGGTATGTTTTATCAATAAAAGGAATGGAGAATGTGTGAAGGAGAAAAATAAATTAAATGGAAACCACCTGTAGGCCAAGGTCAAAATCCTTCTGCTTGTTGGGAGAAGGTTTCATAGATTGAATATATATGACCTCCAGTATTTTTAGGTGGTAATTACAGTGGGACCTAATCAAGATGGAAAACGAGTCCACACAGAAATGTGCAACACAACTGCGGTTATTTATAAGTTTTCCGCGATAGACCACCCTTATGTTTTAGTCAGAACATCTGAAGGTAAATAATAAGAGTTACGGAATTTTGTAGGCACTCGTTGCTTAATCCTAACATCCAGCCTTTTGAGTTGTTCTTCCGATGTAGTGCGAACTGCAACTACATTTAAATAAATAAATCAGAGAACTATTATGGTGAGGCGGAAGAAAGTCTTTCCGCATACGTGTAAGGATAGGTTTAGTATAGAAAACCACACGGGTGTTAGCAGAAAAAAAGTATTTTCGAAATGCTTAAGAAAGAACTTAGCGTATCTGTCACTAATGCTACCTAGCCAAGGAAGACTTGGGTAAACGGGACTTCGCTGTACAGAAGCAGGTTTGGCTATATTAAACACCGAAATTTTATTTTTAGTTACGGATTGAACATTGTCTGAATGATAGGCATTGTTGCAGAAAGTGGTCCAGCTTACTTTCAGAACAAGTCTATAAGGCCCTATATGTAAGAGACTTAATTAAATTGAGTTTTCGTTTCATGGGACAAAAGGAGTTCCAACGGGTATATAAAACGGTTAAAGTCGGTTTTCGGTAAACCGAAGTGAGATGACCCCCCCCCCGCAAGACGTTCTACAAATAAGAACATCAAGAAAAGGAAGAGAAGAATTAGTTTCCTTATCCAGTGTGAAATTAAGTGCTGGATGAATATTGTTAAGGGACGTAGAAATAATATTCGCTTCATTCTCGTTATTAAAGAGACAAAAAGCATCTTCTACATAACGAAAATAAACGTCAGGTCTATTGGAATCTGATGATAAACTCTCCTCATGAAAGCCTACAAAGATGCTAGATAAAATAGAGTCCCAAAGGGGAACTTATTATAACCATCAATTTGCCTGATCATGACACCGTCAAAACTGAATTCAATCGATATCGTGGCAAAAAAAATATCCTGAGAAATAGGAGGAGGGGACAATTGACTACGTTATAAGGCATCAGCACATATATCGATAGTCTCTGTAAGAGGAACGCAAGGGAAAAGGCTGGATATAACAAAGGAAAACATAAATTTGTCAGTCAACGAGTAGTTCCGTATAAAATCAGAGAAATCAAAAGAAACTTTGATATTTTTTTCTCTTTCACGCATTATTTTTATTGATAATGTATACCTATATATTAACCTCAATTTAGCTGTGCTGAGCGTGTTTCGAAATCGGTTGGCTGGACTGTTTTTCAGTTGTTATCTAGTGTGGTAATACTAAAAATAAGTTTTGTCTGTTTATGTCTGTTATTAAGTTTTATACCCCAAATAAAATTTTCACACTCACAGACACATTTGTGTGTGTGTGTGTGTGTATGTGTGTGTGTGTGTGTGTGTGTACCAGGAGTAACAGCAAAATTGTCCAAATCGTGTACCAGCATAATTGACCATCCCACAAATTGATTAATATCTAAAAATAAACACTACACTAACTGCCTTTCCCTTTTCAAGGTTTTCAGATAAGATATTTATCCATCTTGACGCCATTTGTCGTAAGAATCACTGAAAAACGCTATGAGTTATTCAGCTAAAGAGAGAACAGATGAAAATCGTTATGTGTCAGCCGCACTGTCTTCTCAACTGAGCAATGGTAAGAAGAAATATATAATTCCAGCATTCAGTAATGGTGCCAGCATTCATTCTCTTCCTTCCATTCATGAACCATTAAGAGAACAGTGAATATTTTTTTAAAAATGAGGGAACGGTAGAGAGGAAAACTGGATCAGGAGGTCACAACAGCTAGAGGGATCATCATTTCCATTTAGAACTAAAGAGACTCAACTCAATCCGTAAGACGTTTGGCACATGAGAGAGGTATTTCTACTATGACAGTCCGAAGTTCACTGAAAAAAGACTCGAAAGTGAAATCGTAAGTGAAAAATGTGAGGCACCTTTTTGCTCCAGGACAGAAAGTTAGAAGGTTTGAGAGGGCGAAGATCATCTTGAAGAAGGTGGAAAATGATCCTCGAATAATATAAATATCTGGAATTTATTTCAATCCTTCGTCAATTTCCGACCTTTATCTATGATTAATTAATGTTGAACATTTCATTTTTGTTTACGATCGATTTCATCACGAAGCTTCTGTTAAGCTTGAAGTGTAATTATACAATTTTATTGCTAAAAGTAGAGTCGAATATTGTTATAAAAACTTCAGAGAATTCCAGTAAGATATGTTTAAACATTTCTAAAGATACATCAGTTCAAAGCTTAATCTAACAAATGGGAAATTTTACTTTTATACTATTTGGACAATTTTTCTGTTAAACCATATCTATCTATCTATCTATCTATCTATCTATCTATCTATCTATCTCTCTCTCTCTCTCTCTCTCTCTCTATATATATATATATATATATATATATATATATATATATATATAAAAACTTGAAAGGTGAACCTACATGACGAAACTGCGTGGTCAGGATAATAATAATCAAATATGAATAAAAAATTAATTTACAGTAAGGAATTTTTTTAATTTAAACACACACACACACACACACACACACAGATATATATATATATATATATATATATATATATATATATATATATATATGCGCGTGTGTGTGTCTTTGTGTGTGTGCGTGTGTGTGTTGTCATCCAAAGACAGACTGTTTCGCTGTAACACAGCTCATCAGTGTGTCTAGGCAGTTTTATTTTTGTTTCGTATTAATAGGATGTCGTAGAAGGGCAAGGTGTAGTTCTCACTTCGGATCTGGCCAACGGAAACGCATCCTACCAAACATTTCCACTCCCCTCAGATAGACACATGAGGTTTTATTCGTATATCCAGTCAAGAAAAAAAATGCCCAACATTATGAAGTAAGTAAAAACGTTGAAATCACGACCGAATTCGCACACGAGGGAGAACGACTTACTCTTCCTCGAAAACCTATTAAAGGCCAGCAAACAAACACAACACACACAAACACAACACATATTTCTCTCTTCGTAAACCAGTCTTGAATTGCATTCATTGGCTTGATTGCAGATCCAAAGTATTATATTCCTCCACCCAATCTCCACAGGTATGTGAACTATGTCACCCGATCCCCATGTTTTGTGTCTCTTCTATTAGTCTTTCTTCTTACGTAAGTGACTGACCTACGGAAGGCCTTAACATTCTCATCCAGAGGACTGTTATTGATGACAGTTATATGGTATCTTATACTTATTGAAAAAAGCGCTAAATATAAAGAACATGTATGAAAATAGAAACAATTTAGACATAGGTATCAACACTAAATGGCAACACTTTATTTCATAGTAAATAGTGGTATCCAAAAAGAATATATCCAAAAGAAACACGCGAACATTTAAAAAATCCCTCTGCGGCAAACAGACTGCTAATGTTTATGTAATCCAAAAACGTAATTTTATGTGTATTGAATATTCTATAAAATAGGACACTGTTATATACATGAAAAATAAATATACAAATCATATATATATATATGTGTGTGTGTGTGTGTGTGTGTGTGTGTGTGTGTGTGTGTGAGTTAAATGCGACAGGATGATAAAATAACGAACATTGAAGTATTGAAAATACCAGAGTTTCTGCCTTTTTATCTCTTTTCTCTCAACTCTGACGAAACTTTAATAAAAGTGAAACGTGTTAGATTTATCTATGTGTCCTATTTGTTCTTGATTTTTGAATATATGTAGATATGCGTGTGTTTGTCTATGTATATATGTATACTGGATAACGATATATATATATTACTCGGCTATTTACATATACGGGTCAGTGGTGCAATGTGGGTAGTCTATTTTGGCGGTTATTTAATCGGAAGTCGTTTAGTCATTTATTTGTTTATATATATATATATATATATATATATATATATATATATATATATATATATTTATTTATCAAGAATAATGTTAGGAGAAAGATGTATGGCAAAGTGACTCAAAGTTTTCCTGTGTCTCTGTTCGTCTTTTAGGAATTCATTGGAAGGAAGGATGCTTACGTTGATGCGACTACGCATGAACAAGAAGCAAAATTGATGCAAACAAGTTTAAACTTTATTTTTTATATATATATATATGTTTTGAGTATATATTCTAACCAATTTCATTTACTTCGTTATCTTTTGTTTATGTTTCCATAACGTTTGCCATCAAATAAGATATATTGTATTATATGCCAAGATATGCCAAGAAAGGAGATATGTAAGAACCTGAATGTTAGTTTACAGTCGATGATTTAGCGATTAAATGTCTTTCTATACATTTCCGTCTGTGTAAATTGCTTTCTCTTTTACATAGTTTTGCGTTTTGAAATAAAATAAAAAATTATCGCCACACTCATTACGGTTAGCAACTAACGCATTTAATGTGTTCTTTTGTAATATATCCCTTTTATGTTCATATAATATTTCCTTTAAATACTTTGAGGTTTCTCTTGTGTATTCTTAGTGACTATTATTACAGTGATAGAGTAAATTTATCCTTCAAGTTTTGGCATATTATTTAGTTTTGTATTAAGACATTTATTGTTATAGAAGTAGATTTAACTAATTTTATATTCAGCTTAATTTTTTTTTTCAGTTTTAGTTGTAACAGATTTGGTTGTAGAAAAATATATTTTGATTCGTTGGGTATGTCAAGAAGCTCATATTTTTCTTTTGATATATTTTACGAGCTTTTCGTTTCGGGTTTAATTTGATACAATTTAGTTATTGGAGGATCTTACAGTGTATTTCTCCGGATATTATTTTGTGGGTACAAGACGGCTCATCACCGCCATCTGAACGCCACCGACTCAAAACCGCTGACTCAACACAGGCCAATTCATCTCAGTGACAAATCAAATCCAGCCTACTCAGGCCGAAGACAATTTTTTTCTGCTTTTTACTAACAAATAAAAGTAATATAACAATGGCACGATATTCATATCTTGAGCAGGCAGAAATGATTTTTACATACGGCCGCGCGAATGCTAATGGACGCGAGGGTGCCCGGTTGTATCAGGTTGCGTTTCCAGGCCGAAGGCAGCCGAGTTATCCAACCTTTGTTGCTGTTTATCATCGCGTTGCAGAGACAGGATCCGTGGCACCAGAAACTATGGATCGAGGAAGAACATATTTTACAGACGATCCAGGGATCAGCACTCGGCAAGTGGCCTTACCATCTCATAGTACTGCATGGGGGGAGGGATTCAAGACAAGATCTTTTATCCGTACCATTTGCAAACTGTGCAGGGCCTTTCGCCCTCTGATCGCTCATGACGGGAGAACATTTGCAGATGCTTTATTGCACAAACTACCGATCTGTTCTTTGTCTCTTCAGTCTAATTTACAAATGTGGCAACATTTGAAAAACCAATTTACACAGCCAACATTTGTGGGCAGATGAGAATCCCCATGGTACTATCCAGGGTAGGCACCAGCATCAGTTTATGATTAATGCGTTGACTGAAATTGTATGTGACTGGCCGCTAGGTCCATATGTTTTCCCAGAACGTCTTGCAAGTGATCTCTAAAAGAACTTTATTTTGAACACACTTCCAAACCTGCTGGAGAGTGTGCCTCTGCAAAAACGAAGACGCATGCGGTTCATGTATGTTGGCGTTCCAGCACTAAGAGCTACAATGGATAAGAAGTTGTGAAGAACCATGATCGCCTAATTACTGAAGAGAGATGATGTATAAAAGAATATAGAGTAAGGTGAGATGATAATAGTATATTTAAAATCTAACAAATATCAAAACTCCCTTACAATTCATCTGGTGTGCAGTTATTATATAAAGGCTCCAAATAGCTCTTCTCTCATCAAAGCCGGAATAGTAAGTGTCCTCTAGGCCACCCAGTCTTTTTTTTACACGGGGCCATAAGAAAGATATCATCACTCGCTGTAATATCTGAAAACCTAGAAAATACATTAAGTGGACTAGTCGTTTGATGAAACTGTAGTCTTTTGATGAGTAGAAATGGGAACACCGTGTCAAAATTGTGGCAGTTTTAAAGCAAAGGCACCAGCTTAAGCTTACGAGAACACACATATATACATCATTGTGCAAATTAATTGAAACAAAACGAATAATTCCGTTTAATATTTACTTTTATTTCGTATTTTTCCAACGAAGCATGACGCAGTGCACATGTTAGTACTTCGTATGTCCATTTCGGGAAGTCGTTCCTTCAGATTGAGCACAGATTCTCGAGTGGATTTAAATTAAACTTACCGCGCCAGTCTATAGTACTTTGATCTGCTCACCAGTAAGGCTTTCCAGAATGTTCGTGCAGCGTTACAATTTTCGTACGCTTTCTTTAGAGTAACGTCCATCGTAGACAATGGCCGTAGGACAACTAATCGACAGTCAAGACAATAGTGTCTGGGCGTGATAAAATCTGATGCAATCACGGATGCGCAATATTTTTCTAGGCCAAACAAATGTCATCATACACCCTGAATATGCCTTCATGTTACTGCACAGAACTGCAAATGACCTAATCTGAGGAAAACATATATATTGATTACACCCTGTCATTCCAGTGAGTCTAAAACTGACTGTGTAGTGAAAGAAAGGAAACTAAAGCGGTTGTTTCAATTAATTTGCACAAGGGTGTATATATATATCAAAGTGGATTCGTTGCACGTTGGAGTTACTTTTTATTAAGCGCAAAATATTTTTACCGAACCTTAATTTTACGTTATTGATAAGAGAAGCTGCCATGTTGAGTATAAGTATTTTTAATCACAACTTTAGTATATTTTAATTAAAAGCATTGTAACCGCGCCACCATGAGAAACAGATCCACTCAAACCGAGATGTCTATGTCACGTAATTAATTTACACATATTACGATGTCTGCAACGTCGCATCAAATCATGTTTTATTACTCAGGTTTGTGAAACTTGTAGTTCAATAATCAGGGACTTTATCAAGTCATTTGTCTTCAACAATGACTTAAGTCAAATTGTTTACATGCTGTTTCGAGAAATCAGTTTTTTTCTGATTATATACGGTTATATTTAAAGACTTTTTTTTTAATTCTATATTCGTTGTAGACATCTTTCCATACACACAAAAAACAAATTTTAATAACTCAAGAAATCATGAACATTATTCACAACATCACTGAATTTATTATAATTTGTCTGCGCCATGAGCAACGCTTGCATTTTTCCGATCAAAAGATTTTTATTGGAAGCTGTTCAAATATTTGCATGTTAAATAATCTAGGCATTGTTGCCAAAGAAAATTTGGTTAAACGCTTCATTTATTTTGTTTTGTTTTGTTCTTTATATTTTATATATTCTCCTTTTTTTAAAAAAAATTCCTTGTTGGTAAATACGACATTAATCTAATAAGCGTTATTGTTGAATTCTTTCCTTGTATAAATATCTATGCGAGAAAATGATATATAAATTTGTATATAAGAGAACAATGGAAGTATTAACATAAGCCAAAATAACAAGCTAAAACTTGGAGGCGGAGTATATCCGATCACCTGTAATAATTTCCACAGGGAATACATAGGTGAAAACTTGAGGAAATAAAATAAACAAATTATATGAACAAATATACTGTTTTATAAAACAACACTCTCAATTCATTAACTACTAACTGTAATTAGTTTTACCTTAATTCCTATTTTGAAAACGCTACTTTAATTAAAAGAAAAAAGTAATTTTCTAAGACCAAATTTTAAGAAAGTATTTTCATTGCTAGATCAGCCACAGTAATTATCCGTCCAGGTTCTTAGAACATATCACCTTTCTTGGCAAATCTTCTGTTATCAAAATGTGTGATGCTTTATAACAAAAGTGATAAAAATATAAACATTAAGAAAAAAGAGCTAAAATAAATAAACTAGATTATATATGCAAACACGTATTTTAAAACATTTAATTTAAAAGTTTAAAACTGCATAGTACACTTTCCAAGCTACATGAAGAAAAATATTACTTTCCTTCAAAGGACGAAGTCCGTCACACGAAACATGTTCCACTTTGTCATAAATATCCATAGAAATTATTTAAAGTCTTTAATATTCGGTCATTTGGAGTTTGATGAAAAATAACCTCTATTCATGGAAACAGGATATCTTATAAAAATATTTTTTTGTTCTTTGAAATTAAGTGATAATTATTTTCACGAATCTTTCAGCAAATCTCTTTCATCTTAAATGCCTTACGTTATTTTTCAGGCAATTCTCTTAGAGGAAATTTTTTGAACCATTAACGCGTTTGTGTTTCTCCACACTTTCCAGTTAACTGATCATCAACATTTAAAAGTAAATCAAAAAACACGTACCCTGACAACATCGAATTTTTGACACGCACAGAAACTTATAGTTTCTTTTAAATTTCCTGTATTTATGAGAGATCAGTATAAATAATGTAGCATGCACACATATATATATATATGTGTGTGTGTGTGTGTGTTTCATTAAAAACGACAGATGCTACGATTAAGCTTTTTATTTAATTTTTCTTGTGTACGAAAAAAGTGCATTCTTTTTGGACACAGAATGTGTAGAAACTGTCCAAATGTTCTATAATTTCGAGTGCTTTCAGCTATACTTTTAGCCATTATCAAGGATGATTTTTTTTCAGTTTAATTGAGTGTGTGCATTGTGTATATGCTTTTAGTGCTATAGAGGTGTTTTATTTTCCGAACACGGCACATTGTGGCCGTGTTCGTAGTTAATATTCTTAGGTATTGTGATGTGGGGCCGAAGTTGGGACCACAGAAGTAAAACACGGAACACGAATTAGATGAAAGAAAGATATATTAACAACAGGTTACAGAGATAGTTTAAGCAGAGCTTACTATAAGTTAGTGTCCAACACTGGTAGTCGCACTAGACTTTCACTGTCTCTCTGTGTCACCCAGTGTGTCACTCTCTGTCACTCTCTAGAGTGCTATGTCACCTACTTAGGCCTGGAAGAGTTTATTGTGCAGGTAGTTTCCGGTCTCACAATATATTGACTTTTTTTCTTTTTTCTTATTAAGGCTTCCATTATTTTTATGCTTGTATTTTCTATTAGTATCCTTCGGATGGAGACTGGTAAGTTTTTTTACATACCTTGTACAAAAAAGAAAATAACACTTGTTGGAACACAAGAAAAATTAAATAAAAAGCTTAATCTCTGTACCTTGTGTATTTAATGAAACATGCATAAATGAAGGATTGCTGCCTAAATACACAATATATATATATATATATATATATATATATATATATATATATATATATACTTTAGGAAAAATTAGGTAATCCGTATGGATAAACCTAAGGAGGATAAAATCCAGAGAGCTCAATGTAAATCCAGAGCAAGTTAAGTTAACCGTTTAAATGTGTCAATATCTGCTAACTCACTCATGTCTTCTCTCTCCCCTCACTTCCTCACTTCATTAATTTACATATATTTAATACGGCCCGTCAAAATGTGTAAATTTTCTTTTTCATTTTTGTTTGAAGTAAAGTCTGATGATCCGCAGTCCTTTTAAAAGGGCTGTGGTGAAATAATTTATTACATGGAACCTTAAAGTGGTCTGTTTTTATTTAAATTATATATATATATATATATATATATATATATATATATATATATATATATATATTGTGGTCGAGCGATCATAACAACACCGATAGTTTCACCTACAAAGGGGACACAGGTTCGATTTCTCCCCGAAAGCCCATTTACTGTATTAAGATTTTTCGAGTCCGCCATCTGATAGACATAATAGATATTGCTTAAAATAAAAACAGTGCGTTTATTTCAAATTCGGGCGTCCAGTAAAATAACGCTTGCAGTAATAAAGATGTCGGATAAAAAATAAATCCGTTAATATTTTTAAAATATCTAAATGTCTATCTCAAAATAGTAGACGGGGTCTATATATATTCACTGAATCCTCAAATGAATGGTAACGCCTCCACAAAAGGAGCCACCTACTAAATACATGCTCAGAGATTCAAATATTAACGACCAGTATTTACCAATCCCATGAAACAAGTAAATGATTAGTGACTTAAATATAAACAACCAATCACCTATCTCAGAAAGAAAGAAATTCTTATAGACACACATACACCAGTAATATGTACTATCAAGATAAACGGTCAGCTTTAGCCATTCCTGGAAACGGTCAGCTTTACCTTTATCAGAACCAACCAAGTGTAGACTCAAATATATTACCACATTAATTTCTATCTATCCATCTTTCTGTTTTGTTTTTACTCATTTTACCCCAGTGAAGGCGATAATGCAAGGGCTTAATGAGAGAGAAAGAAAAAAGGAAAATTTTAATGAGGAGAAAGGATAATAAAAGAACAACCTCAGAAAGACAGAAGATAGCGACTGACTTTAATTTTTTGAGAATTGTAGGTGTTAGGGAAGCAAGAACCAGAAAGAGAGTTCGACAGGCAAAAAAAAATGAGAGGAAATAAACTATTGGAATAAAACTTACGGTTTCATCTATCTAGTTCAACAGTAAAAAGATGAGACCTAATTGCCAATCAAGTAGCTCCGTTAATTCCATGCTTACAAGAACCGTAGTGTCAGTCGTGATACCGGGCGAGGATCGATTACAGACCGTTCATTTAATTTGGCCAAGAATCTCGAGATATATAGCAGGTTCACCAGACCAGATGTGACAGCAATATTCAGTATACGGACGATTTATGAATCTGCAAGAAGGAGTCTAAGGATAAAAATTGTCTTGCACGACACAGCGAACCAGCTTTACTAACAGTAGACCTAGAAATTGATTCAGTATAATCATTCTACTGCATGTCAGTGGAAAACGTGAGTCCAGGAAAGTACAAAGATTTGCTATCCTGGAGGTTAGCATCAGCCATGCTGATGGAAGGCAGAAAAATTCTCTATGTGTAAATCGAAATACAGAATGGGTTCTATAGCCTTGGATGGCAACTAGTTTAAAAGCAGGAAAACTCAGAATTCCAAATCTATCTATCTATCTATCCCAGTCTATTCCTATCTACCATTTTGTCTGTCTGTCTGTCTGTCATTCTATCTATCTATCTATCTATCTATCTACCTATCTATCTATCTATCTATCTATCTGTCCCAGCCTGTTCCTATCTACCAGTTTATCTATCTATCTATCTATCTATCTATCTATCTATCTATCTATCTATCTATTCCTATCTACCATTTTGTCTGTCTATCTATCTATCTATCTATCTATCTATCTATCTATCTATCTATCTATCTATCCCTCTCAGTCTATTTCTATCTACCCTTTTGTCTGTCTGTCTGTCTGTCTGTCTTTCTTTCTTTCTTTCTTTCTTTCTTTCTGTCCCAGCCTGTTCCTATCTATCTATCTATCTATCTATCTATCTATCTATCTATCTATCTATCTATCCCAGTCTATTCCTATCTACCATTTTGTCTGACTGTCTGCCTTTCTATCTATCTATCTATCTATCTATCTATCTATCTATCTTAGTCTGTTGCTATCCGTATCTTTTTATATATGCCTATTAATATCAGTCATTTCAGTATATGTTAACTTCAAGTAGACAAATAGCTTATTATTATGACTTGTATTCAGAATATCAAATTCATGCCGAATTGATCCTCTGCTGACTAATTGAACGTCCCTAGACTTAGCGAAGACCTAACAACACAAACCAAAACATTCTTGAAGACAGATAATTTTCCCCTTTAAATTCAGGATTTTTTTCATGCTATTCACATGCAATATTCTATGCATAATTTGAGATGATTGTATTTTCTGTAAAATCATTTAAAAAACTGCATTTTCTATCGGATGTTTAATGAATATATAGAAAATTTAACACGCACGGTACCGCGGATTTTGTGGAGATTTTTGTGTTTCACTTAACAACAACTGCTGCCCTGAAACCAATGTATCATTGAGTCATGCTACATTTGTATATTAATCTCTTGATAATTATCAGAATATTTTCATATAAGAGGAGGTGGAGAAAAGTTCTTGGTATGAACAACACCCACCGCCATATTCAACGTAATGTCAAAATTTATATTAGAAGGGCCACTTGATATATTTGGGATTTTTTAGTCACACCACCATTTGTTTGGGGGGGGGAGCGTGTATGCTTATGTAAAAAAACGGAGAGAGGATTTCTATTCTCTATAAGTGATAATATTTGTACGAAGAATTCGTGCAAAAATATATTTAAATATACACATATACCCACACAAACAAAAAATAACATATATAAATATCCATAAGGAGAGAGAGACAGAAAGAGAAACAGACACACAAATTATACACACACACACACACACACACACATATATATATATATATATATATATATATATATATATATATGCAGTGGGTAGCAAAAGTATTTAATACATTGGTTTTTCTTACATATCTCAAAAATAACGACCATCTCAACGAAACTTATAGGAAATATTTAAACGAACATTGTCGATCAAAACATAGAAGGAAAATTTAAAATATGGGTTATTTTATTTATTGTTAATAAATGTTTCTCAAAACAGTGGTTTTAAATTTTCCTTCTATGTTTTGATCGACAATGTTCGTTTAAATATTTCCTATCAGTTTCGTTGAAATTGATCTGTTATTTTTTGAGATATGTAAGAATAACCAATGTCTTAAATACTTTTGCTACCCACTGTATATATATATATATATATTAAAAAGAAGAGGGGTGCCGCAAACGTTTTTGGTTGTAATGTGGATTTATTGAGAAAAAATATTATACTTTGTTTTACATAATTTCACGACACGTGTTTCTGGTCTGGTCTCGCAACCGTCTTCAGGTGAAAGTGGAGATTTTTACATATTATTAAAAATAATTAATTTTTACATATTATTAAAAATAATTAATATTTTTTCTCAATAAATCCACATTACAACCAAAAACGTTTGCGGCACCCCCCTCTTCTTTTAATATACATACTTTTCTCTCGTTGGAACCACTACAACATATTTCCTTTATATATATATATATATATATATATATATATATATATATATATATATATATATATATATACCCAGTATAGGATTGGTGTATACGGAATAAATTCCAATAACCAACAAATACTTTTCTTAAAAAAGAGTGTTCAATACAGATTAGAGCAAATATAATTATTTATTCGAAAATTATAACATAAATATGTTATAAAATCACAACAAAAAATACTTAATTCACAAATCTTTGGGTCATGTCACTGGATCTTACTAACACCTCAAAAACACATGGCAAAGTGGATAAAGGCACAGACACACACGCACACACACACACACACACACACATATATATATATATATATATATATATATATATATATATATATATTATAATTATTTTTTTAAAAATATGATTCCTTCGCTACATAAGAGTTCTCATGTTTATAATAGGTAATATAGTTCGAAATATTCAATAATCAATGGGTCCTCCTTTATTTTGAATAACCTTTTCAACCCTTTTTGGCATTGACTTGATTAGGCTCTCATCTCTAAGCATTGAATTCCATTCGGATATGAAATTCACAATCAAATCCTCTTTGTTGCTCAACTGCTTCCTCGAGAGCCTGTAATTTATAATGCTTCATAAGTTTTCTATGGGGTTGAGGTCAGGAGATTGGGGCGGCCATGTCATAACACTCACCTGCTTCTCATCAAAGTATTCCTTCATCAATTTTGATTTGCGACAGGGAGCATTATCCTGCATAGAAATGAGCTTGATAGGGTCGATTTGCACCCTTTCAGCAGAAGAGAGCAGAACAAACTCTAAAATTCTCTTGTAATGCTCGCTCCTGAGGGTCTTTTCAATAGGATTTAAGAAACCAGTTCCATGCAATAGTGAGCCCATTCAGGTCTCTTGGCTTTGTTGGCTTCGCTTATTGGCGGCTTAAACCTTCGTGTACAAGATTTGTAGCCTTAGAACAAGGCTACAACGGCCACCGACGGACTGTTGAAGAGGCAAGACTAACACCTTGCTCTTCGCTTTGACTGGCTGCAATTTCTTGGCTAGTTATAGTCATATTCTTTGCAACTTCTCTCGTGATTACCCTGCCAGTTCTATCATCAATCTTTTTCTTTCGTCGCTTTGTTTCCTCCCTTGGAGCAGGAGTGGCATCATTATGTGCCCTAAGCACTCGAGAGACAGTTGATTGCGAGGTTATAGCAATTTCTGCAATTTCTCTCGTAGACTTGCCTGCTTTTGAGAGGGCAATAATAGATGCCTTAAGTGGTTCTGAGTGGCTATTTCAAGTTGTTTTTATACTGTATGACGCTTTCTGGAATATTCTGAAATACTCTAGATTTAATTTAAGCTGTTATAGAATTCTCTAGAATATTATTCTGAGTGTATTGTAAAATAGTTTTCAATATTTTGTCAAAAGCTCTTTGTGACACCATTTAACAGGACAAAAAAAAAGAAAGGAAAAAGAGAAAGGAAAGAAAGGAAAAGAGAGGCGAGACCCAAGCGTAGTTGATAAAAAAACCACCCACGACCAGGGGCCTTGACAATGTTATTTTGATAAGTAGCAAATAACGAAAAAGGTGTCATTTCCATTGCAGAAAAATTCTAAGTGGATAAGGGAATCGACTATGTTCTGGCGACGAACTTGTGTTATTGGGGATAGATAACAGCCGCTTAATGCGGGCAAACATCTAATTAGCAAATCACAGACCGAGTAGCTAAGAAAACTCCAATTGATAATGTTATTTTGATAATTGACAAAGAACATGTGAAATACAGGGCTTTGGATAGATAAGAAAAATTAACTGTGTCGTCTGCTAAGCCGCACACGAAGCCAAACTTGAGTAACGGCTGACCGTTTTTTGACAAGACATCTATAGGTGTTAGAGTTCGGTTGTGATAACAAAACTATGTTATCAGAAATTGGCACCAGGAATGACTAGAACAATGGGACTGTTTTTTCGAGACGACGGTCGACTGGACGACCACCCATTCTGATGATTAGTAAAAATCTGACTGACAAAGTCCAGATGAGAATAGAGGTTATGACACTACTGGTCGCATTGTTCTGTTGGCGGCCAGAGAAGACAAGAGCTGCGATTAAGGAAAGAAAAGAAAAAGAAAAAGATAATTTTTTTTTTTGAGCAAGATATATTTTTTTTCTTCCTGAAACAAAGCCAGCTGGATCGCACACGCCCGGCTGAACATTATTGGCCGGAGGTGATCACGTGACGCAAGGAGGGAAGCCGCCGCCGCCCATTTAGAGGATGGGTATGAGAAGTTGCGACGAAGAAGTGGGGAGGACCGTTGACGCCCCTCTGAAGTATGGTGAGAAGGTGGGAGTAAGAGAAGACTTCCAAAAATGGAAAGAAGTGGAAAATTTCTAACCAAAAAATAAAAGAAGTGGATATGTATTTAGAATTATCGAGGAACCTCCAACGCCGATAAACCCACCCCGGTTTTGGTCGGCGTCCATATAAGCAAAGTGGCAGCGAGCAAAAATCAGTTCAGTTGAGTAGAGTACAGCTCAGTCCGGCAGAGTTTCCCGAAGAGATCAGAGCGCTCAGTTGAAGCAGGCCTCGCAGCTGACTAAGATTCGCGCAACTTCCGAACTCATCTTCCATCCAAGAACAATTTATTTTGAAGAGCGACTTAGACCCATACCACCAAAATAAGTTTTTCGACTTTCGCCTGAAGACACGCCAAGAACCAATTTCTTAAAGAACAGGCAACTTAAAGTGTTAAAACTCGCCTAACAAAAAAAACAACGTGTCACAATCCATATAACGGGTCGGGAAATAGACGCAGTCCTATGTACCCAACAACTAGACATAAAGTTTGTTATCCTTTTTTTGATACCTTGAACTTTTGAGTTTTCATTTTATTTTCTTTTATGCATATTTGTGTGATATCACCCCCGTTTGAACTCAATTTGCATTACGGCCCCAACGACTGATTGATTTCGTCTGCCTAAGATCAATTCACAACGTGGGCAGGCGGACTGGAGATCAACGCAGTTACTTTGGTAACCAGACGTTGGAAGCGAGTTGGAAACGACGAGGCTGATGTCGAATCTAACCAGATTCCCATCCGAATCACCAAAAGGTTAGAACATCACATTTGGGTGCCGCGACCGATACCAAGCCAGTTGGTCGTCACAGGACGGGACAACACGACTGACGCAACAGGCGGACGTCACGTTTGGAGCGGCGACACCCGAACGAAGCAGCGAGGAGCGAGCGAAGGCTGTGTTTAGGGACGTCACATCTTTAAATTTACCAGTTTAATCATTAGAATGCGATATCTGAGTCACTTTTTTTTGCACAGAGTTTTTTCCTGAATCTCATTTATATCCAAATTTATAATTATCAATAGAATACCTTAGGGTGAATAAACTTTTTTCCAAGGTGGTCGGGAAGGGATCTTGATATTAGTAAGATTAAAAATTATTTTAACCCCAAAAACAATAGACAAAAAATATTTTTAATAAAAAAAAAAT